AAAAACAGTTAGTACTGTTTATAAAAAAATATGAAAATAATTTTTGAAGTTTCACAGCTCTTTCTTTTGAAGGTAACCTTGGGAAAAGTCTGGAAACCTAGAATTATTTTACTATTAGCCACATTATGCTGGCAGCTTATAATGAAATCACAACTGCAAAGTTCAAGAGAAATTTTCTGTTTTATATAGAAAGTTCATGAGGTTAAGGTCTAAACTGATGCATCTGTCATTTCTATTTGTTGGTGTCAAAATTCATTGCTTGCTTTTGTGCAGGTCACACAGTGCAGGGTTTAAACTGATGCATCTGTCATTTCTATTTGTTGGTGTCAAATCAACTACATGCTTTTGTGCAAGTCACACAGTGCGGAGAAGAGCGAGCTGGAAGACACTGGTTTTCTTCAGATACTCTTGTTATTATGAACTCAGGCAAACCATAGGCTAAAAGCCAGTATTGCTGTAATCAGGGCTTGTAAAGCATTTATAGTAAAGGATCACACCTAAAACAATACACTGCATCTTATAGCAACAACGATGACAAAATGCTTGGTAATTTTTAAGTATCTGTGGAAACACAAAGTTTATACCTCTTTAGTCGGTCCAGCACATTAAAAATACATTTAAAGCAGATGGTGAGCAGCGTCTTGAATGGCGTTAGGGTGGTGTTGAGCATACATATCCCTATTTTGCTCTCACTGCCTGACTGCCCTTTAGAGGACAGGGAGGCAGAAAGTCATTCTAACTCCATACATATCAAAGGCCAAGGGAAATCAGAAGGCTTAGAGTTTCTTCAGCACCTGTTTTTCTTTGCATTTTGAGTGTGAGTGGGCAAGAAAACCCATAGGACACAAAATTGGGCAGGGTCATGGTAGGTGGATCTGGGAAGAGCTGGACAAGGGGATGGTGAATATAATCAAAATATAGTGCATGAAAAATATCAAAGATTAGTAAAAATATTTTAAAAATTAATAGAAAATAAAGTTTTGAAGTAAAAAAGAAAAAAGAAATAAAATAATCTAATGTATCTCAGACAAAAAAACTCTAACAACTCCAAAGTCAAGGACACATTAAGAAAATCAAATATAAAATCCAGCTTGGTTTCATTCTAGGAGTGCAAAGTTGGTTAAACATAAAATCAATAAAGGTAATGCACCATATATACAGACTTAAACCCAGAAGTTACCGATTTCGGGAATGACTTTTACCTAGCCTTGTAACCGAAGAGTTAACCATATGTTTTGGGATCAATTAATATGATATCAGTTTGTTTATAATGTAAACAAGTTTACCAGGCTTGAGCTCCCCTTGTAACCTAGACATGTGGTCTTAACATCTCCTTCCTTGCCTTTAGGCCAGAATAATGTATATGTGTATATGTCATGAAAATATAAGACTTGCTGAAAGCAACAGCAAATATTATTGAAAGCAACAGACTATCCCATTTATGTTGTAAACAACAGATAGAAGTAAAGTAATAACAACTTTTTGTGATTGTATGTTCTGTTCAAGGTCAGTAGGTGTCAGAAAGGGCATAATCTTTTGATAAGGCAAGTTCCTCTTTTCCCATGTGATACTGGACATACAGCTTCAGTAAAGAGATCAAGACCTCTGTTCAAGGGCACAGTTCTGGGAGGAGTCTGAAGGAACAAGTTCTCAGAATAGTTTGGGTCCCATTCTTGGTTTAAATGGATGCTAAGAGTCATGCATCCATTGTCCAGACATCAGACATAATATGGCATCACTCTGCCACAAATAATCTTTCTAGATACAGAAAAAGGCACATGACAAAACAACATGCCTTCATGATAAGACCCCTGAAGAAATTAGCAATAGACAGAACATACCTAACAGAATCAAAGCTGTGGATGGCAAACCTATAGGCAGCATCACACCAAAGGGGAAGAATATAGAAACATTTCTTCTAAAATCTGGGATGGAAAAAGGTGCTTATGCTCTGCACTCTTACTCAATATTGTCCTTTAGTTTTAGCTGGAATAATACAACAGGAGAAAGATAAACAGAACAAACAAGAAAAGAAGTTGGGGTCTGGAGAGATGGCTCAGTGCTTAAGAGCACTGGTTGCTATTGCAGAAGACCCAGGATCAGTTCCCAGCACCTACAAGGCAGCTAACAACCATCCATAACTACAGTTCAAGGATATCTGGCACCTTCTTTTGACCTCCATGGGCATTGCAAGCATGTGGTACACTAGCATACATGCAGGGAAAACACTCATACACATAAAATAAAAATAAATCATAAGAGAGAAAAGAAATAAAACTATCCCATTTACCAATGGCATGATCATATACTTAAATATCCTATGGATTCTACCAGAAAATTTTATTTTACAACAGGGTCTCTAGAAATTCCTGTGTAGCCAAGGATAAACTTAATTCTGATTCTCCTGCTTCTTCCTCCCCAGGTCTGTGATTATAGGTGTGTACCATTATGTTTTGTTTATGTAGTACTGAGGCTGGGGCCTAGAGCCTGGCGTGTGGAAGACTAGTACTCTAACAACCAGGATACAGTCTCAGACACTACAATAAAACTTTAGGTCTGATAAACTTTTTAATAAAATTATAGGTTATAAAATCAATACATAGGAATCAGGAGCTTTTTCTATACACTAGCAACAAACTCACCAAAAAATAAATTAGGA